AACTGAGGTGGATGAAACACACTTTCAGATACAGCGACATAAAACAGAGATACCAGGTCAAGTACTGGAAAAAGAACCAGTATGAGAAGGTAAGTCTTAGAAAGTGCAGAAGTCCTGTGTTTGTATTTGCTGGGCAAATGGGACAGTTCCTCTCACCTCTGTCATTTGTGCTTCCTTTTTCTCCCCAGACTCTCCAGCAGTTAAACATCAGCAATGATGAGCCTCCCTTCATCTTCACCCTTCAGATGCTGGCATCATCTACAGAATATAGGGGGAAAATGCGTGCAAGGGTGAATACGCCTCAGGAGTATGAGGGGCCTTGGAGCGAATGGAGTGAGGAGTTTGCCTGGAAGACTGAGAATGGTACTTTACATGCAGGCTGTTTCTGTAGGGTTTTGTGGTGTGTTAATGGCTGAAGTGCCTCTGTAGAAAGATACATTCTCTCAGCTGGGGTTGCAGTGAGGTCCAGCCATGAGCTAGCTTGTGTCACTTAACAAGGTCTCTGTCCTGTCTGCATCATTGCAGTACAGCAGCAACGCTAATGAAGAAGGTGAGCATGAATGACCTTTTAGTTTCCTTCCTGCTGCCCTTCACAAGATGAGTCCAAACAACCGTAAAGGTTTCCACATGGAGAATCGAGCAAAGATCCTGCCCAAAAGATCTTCCTTGTTTCCTGATTCCAGTAGTCCTTTCTGCTATCAGTGTCTGATGAGCCCAAGATTGCACAAAGACAGATTATAAGCCTTCAGTCTTTTGTATTTTCCAAGTGACCATAGGGCTGTGTAAAACACCCAGTAGAGTTTACTGGAGTTAAAACCTTTACGTGGTTTTTGCTGTTTCTGCACTTAGAGGCTGAATGTCTTCTACCATATGGTCTTGTGTCCAAAGTAATACAGTCTTGCACAACTTTTCCTGAGGAAGCTTGTAGTGGTAAGACAATAGACAATTTTTGATGAGTGTACTTAGGAAAAAAATTGGTATGTTTGTGATGATAAGTTGCGGCCATTAGCAGACGAAGGTCTTTGAAAAATCTCTGAGACCCCCATCTCTTCAGGGCTGTACAGAGTAAGGCAGACCTAAGATGCCTGAAGACGTGCCTGGTGTTCATGGTAGAGTAAGGTACCTAACCATTTTTTTATTAGTATGAATTGTTCAGGCCACGTTTGGTCTGTCCCACTTTGGTGGGTATCTGAACAGTCTGAAGGCCTCATGTTCCTATCCCGTGATATGCCACCTACATTCCCTCAATTTGTTTGCATGAAAAGTGACCGGAGTGAAAAACCTGTTGTGGGAAGCCTCCCCTCTACAAGTGGATACCTATTTCTCTGTTCTCTGTTTCAGTTCTGTCACCAGTGGTTCTCCCAGTGATGATCCCAGCTCTCATCATCACTTCGCTAATAGTTGCTTATTGCAGCTACAGGTATTTCCTCAGGTAGGTTTGTGTTGTGACTAGGAGATCTGGCAGAGTGTTGGCCATGTGGGTGGCATAAAGGCTGAGGCACTTCTTGTTCCCCGTGAGAGAGCGGTCTATGTAAAGATTATCCTTGGAGTGCAATGGGCAGCCTTGTGCATGTCAGTGCAAGGGTGAGAGCTGGGTGGTGGTGTGCCAGGGCCTTGGTGGTGTCTCGCTGTGCAGAGTTGTAAAATTTACTGGTTGCAGCCACGTTGAGAAGCAAATCTTGAAAACTGTGTTGTTGTTGTAGGAAGAAGCAAATATGGGAGGAAAAGATTCCAAACCCCAGCAAGAGTCTCCTGATCCAGAGCTACCTGGGGGTAAGTGGGCATTGTAAATTGCAATTTGTTCCTGGAGAACTACAACATGGAGTATTTCCAGGGTGAAAAGAAAGTAGGGAGGTGTGTGTTGGGATGTTTGGTTGAGGAGGAGCTGCCAGCTCAGGGTCTGAACTGTCACTGAGCAGACTGCTGTCCTGTCTGGGAGGATTACAGAGCTTGGCTGAGCCTCATGAAACCCTTCACTACAGGCTTTGGTTTTCTGCCTGTTTTCCTACCCTAGTATCCAGGACCTGAGAGTTGAAAAAGAAAACCATCTCTTCCCTCTGATGTATCTGGGCATGTTTGCCATTCCTCACCTTCAAAATGCCTCCCAGACTCCTCATACATTAAACCTGCTGTCCCTAAATGGACTTGATCCTTCTCTGCTACTGGTCAGGACGTTGCCTGACTCCCTTCAGTGCTACCTTCTATAGTCTTTGCATGATTACCTCCCTATATACTCTTCTGCAGTTACTGGAGGTTGACTTCATACTGTGAGAGCTATATGGCCTCCTATATGCTGTACTTCCTGGACATGGACATTTTCCTCTATGTAAGAAAGGAGAGAGAAAAGGAAATGCATAGTTTGCACAGTCGTATCTTTGGAGGCATTTTGAAAAGAAAGTGGCTTCTTTTTTCTTCCATCCTTCTCCCTCACCCATTTCCTGATTTCACCTGCAAGGTGAATGCAAATCTTATGATTCCAAGAAACTATATCCCAGGAGTGGATATCACCAGAAGAACCACTGCATGGAGCATAGTTGAAGTTTTATGAGAAGAGTGGCCGGGTTTCTTGCTGGAGCTGACTCTTGCATGTTTCAGTTTCTCACTATCGTAATTTCACAGCTGTATCTGTGTGCCTCCCCTGGAACTGTAGGATTTGTGTTTGACCTCACATCTCTATTTCTTTAAGGCAATGTTGCCAATCACCATTCTACAGCCAGAGAACTCATGCTATTTTTTGCCACTGTGTTTTATCTTAAGCTAAATGACTTCCACTTCATCTCTGGCTCCCTTCAGTGCAAATCAATGACGTGCAACTCCAGAGAAGAGTGGTCTTTACAAACATTAACTTAAAAGTTACTTATCCAATTCCAATATTTTAAGTTTTCCACACCTGTCTCCTCCACCAGCCTCACCCTCTACCTCGCAAGTCCTTTTGTCCCATTTTGTAGTTTTACCTTCAGTGGAATGCCTGCTCTTAGCATTGCTCTTGAGGATGCTGCATATGGTGGGCTGCCATGGTCCTCAGCTTGTTTGGCACCCAGTATTTCTCAGCCCCTTATTCAGTCAGCAAGCAATGTCTCTCAGGCATGCATCCAGTCAGCAGTTGAACAGGGGAAGTGTGGTGCACCAGACTGCTTTACATGATGCATATCTGCATGTTTTGCAGGCTCAGAAAAATCCCCCTCACAGATCAGTCATTGTTCTAAAGTTCCTTCTGTTTCACTTGGCTGTCAACAGACTTCATCAACTTTTTTTTCTGTCCATGCACAATAATCAACACCAGTACAGGGCCATCCACCAGTCTAAAAAGTTCTGCTATCTATCTCATACTCAGTTTTCTGTTTGCAAGTGCTCTCTGTTCTTAGTCTTGTGGTTTTGAGAGTTTTCACCCCTGTAGCAAATTCCCTTACCTTAAACATTGTAAGCATCCCAGCAGTCCTGTTTCTCTGGTCAGTCAGCACAGAAGGACAGTCATTATAGCTCTACAAGTGACATACTGCTCTGAGTGTCCTCATGTGCTGCTGAATCAGAGTAGACATTGCACAAAACAGCATCTTTGAAGTTTATTGGGATGGGATCCTGCAGCTGCAGCAGCCCCTGACTCCTATCCTGCATAAAGACAGGTCAGTGATAGACAACGTGGAGGTGAAGCAATAGTCTTCTGGAGGACAGGGCATACTTTGTAGCCACTGCTGTGGGATTGCTTCCACATTGCCATCCATTGTGACTGGAAGACTGAAGAGAAGTAAATCTCAGCTCGTTCTGACTAGAGAAGGAAGGTTGACATGTGAAGAGATCTGCAGACTGGTGCAAGGATGAAGGAGGGAAAAGCTGATAGAAGATGTTAGAACTAATCAAAGTGTTGTGAGGCTGCCAGGAATGCATTCAGACTGGCAGTTTTTTAAACCTGTGTCCATCTATTAAAGATTGCCTGTAGCAATGTTACCACTGTGTTTAGGTGGGAAAACAGCACGGCCCAAAAAAAATTGAGAATAGCAAAGTTGCTGAGACATAAGTTCTTTGGAAAATATTACTTCTAAAATATAGGTTGGTACATTGGTAAAACTATGCAATGTGAATGCCTGGAAACTCATTCTTGTGTGGTCTATCACAAATGCGCTATCAGCATTATTGTGTCCATGGCTCCTGACTCTTCCTGGCCTTAAGATGACCTCTCTTTCCTCAGAAGTGTTACAATCTTCATTTTCTGTTTTCAGGAAGCTGTCAGCCAGTGGCCAGCCAACCAGGTGGGCTTCAATGGGCAGAACACTTCTGAGGAGGTGGAGCAGATCAACTGCTTCGAAGTGCTGGATGGGTAAGTAAGCAGACTACTCCCTATTCCTTTCTTGAAATTTTCCTTATTAACCATGGGGTAAGAGTAGGCTATGCAAGATATCACCCATTGCAATGGGGAGGACAAACCATTTTCACCCTTGTCTCTCCTACACCTTCCAAACATCTATGGAAATGGTAATGAATTGTTGCAGCTGCAGACCTTGACTTCCCTGTCTGGAAATCTGAGGACAAAACTCGCTTCCTTTCTTCCTCTGCATTTTCTTTGGAAATAGGTTTGAATAAAAGGCATTGACCTAACAGGGTTGAAAACCTGTTGGCTACATTCCTCCCAGCCCACCTGAACACAACCTCCCTCTCATGAAAGTGCCCATACTCCTTTACCTCTGCATCCTCTGGAAATGGCATACTTTCCACTCCTTGAAGAAAAGTCTGACTTTGAAAGTGGAATGTGAGCAAAGAAGAGCTGCAGGGGTCCTGGCCAGTGTGCAGCTGATCAGAAATAGCTCCAAATTGTCCATACAGTCTCAATTGTGTCAGGTCTTCAAAGAGGGAGTGGGGAGTTGACCATAAGACCCTGTCTGGAAACTATCATACATTGTAGAGCACTTGAGGAGCCTGACACAAATTAAATTGTCTCTTGGGTTTTGTGATAATTATCTGCCTCTTAGAAGAGAGTGTCAGCTCTTTTTAATATATACTTTTATAAGTCATGTGAAGGAAAGACGGATTTCGTTTGTTACTTCTTTGAAATCTTTGTCTTCTCCTTTGTCTAGCTTCACATCCAGTGCTTTTAAGAGACAGGGGCCCTTTATTTTGAAGAAGTAACTGCAAAGTATCACTGAAAGCTTGAGAGCTGCATAAATGCTGATGCTAGCAGTCACGTTTCCTGAGTCTATACTGCTAAATAAATCACGGCCAAGACGTAGTATCAAGCACTGCCCTGCAACTGCTTGCACTGCTTTGTTGTCAGTGCTCTCCCTGCCATGGTTTGGCCTGTGCCAACTACTGCTCTCCAAGATAACATCCTGGCACAATGTGGGAGATAGCAACCATTCCCAGTGGGCAACATAGAAATGACTGTACCAGGTTAGGCTGTGTCCAGTGTCCTTCAAAAGTATTCTAGCAGGCTTTGCACCCAGGCTGGGCAACACACATCCTATTTCACACTGCGGATACAGCTGTAGCACAGTGGTCACAGTATGTCATGCACTTTGAACTGAAAAAAAACCTCCGAGACACAGAACCTTAGCTGTGTTTTAGACAGCAGAGACACTGTGGGAGACCCAGAAGACTACCATGGCTATGCAGTGTGGACACAGCCAGTCTATGCCACTTTACCAGAGGGACAAAGAATGGCCCCTGTCCCTCTTATTTATAGCAAAAACATAGCTTTTCCTAAAAGCTGTTTTATGCTTCCACATCTTGGCATTGAGAAAAGTTGATGGTAGAGAGTTGATCTTTTGCTGTGCCACAGAAAATACTACAGATATGAACAAAGGTCCTTTCTGGTTTCCTGGAAGATAGTGTACCCCCTTAGTGTATCTCCTGTTTATATGCAGTTATCACCTTAGTGAGCTGTCAGCTAGAGAGCTGAGTCCTGTGTTTTTTCACCTGTACAGGATGACTAAGAGACCAGCAGAGTTCCATGGAGCTGAGGTAAAAACAGGGCAGGCTTCCCATGCTAGACTGGCTCCACAGAACTCCTGTCAGACTTCTGAAGTGCCACATAAATCCTCACTTTCATCGTCCGCACTTGTCTGCCCACTGAATCAGACTGCTGGTCCATCCTGCCTGTTGGCAAGGCTTCCATGCAAGAGTGCTGCTCATGCAAATATCACTTCCCAGAATTGCTTCGCTTTCAATGGTCCGTACTTGTACAGCTCCATGATGTCCTCCCAGCCTGACATGCATCAGACTCTGGAAGTGGACTCAGTGGGAGTCCGGGAGAAATCAGTTTCCCTTCAGTATGTGACCCTCCCAAAGGAAGACTGTCTCCTGGCTGCACAGAGGAAAGAACAGCCAGGAGCAGGTCCTCCACAGCCCTTTCTGCTCCCAGAGAAGAAGGAAACAATACAGCAACTTGACAATAAGAAAGAAGTCTCGCCAGCCCCACCAGCCTGTGGGAAAGGCACAGATGTAAGGACAGAAGAGCAGAAGTCTCCAAAGGCTCTGAGCAGCATCACATCTCCTCAGCACTGCTTCTTGGAGTACATCACCACAGAGAGCCTGTTACTGCCATCAGCCAGCGTCTCAGCGCTCCCACCACTCGCCACTGCTAGGGACTTACCTCATGACTCATAGGAGCCCCAGCCCTGCAGTGACCACTCTTGCCATGAGTTTTCTCCTGAGAAAACTGGTGTCATGGTCCCAGATTCAGGTCAAGCACCAACCTCTTCTCCTGAATTGCACCTGGATATGTTTAGAGACCTTTCAGGTCTCCATGGACCTTCAGAACCCACAAAAATGTCCTTATATATTTCTAAAGAATATTTTTTTTTCCCAAAGAACTTGTGTTGCAGAACAACATAGTCATATTTAATCCTGGCAGCATCATAACAGTACTCCTCCATTATGGCTCATTGCTACCTTGTACCCAACCTAAAACCCAGTAAGAAGGTGCAAATGAGTCAGAAAGATCCCCAAGTGTATTTGGTTTACGTGGCAAGGTTTGGGTAATGAAGACGCTACAAGGTTGGCTTCTGTGAGGTGCCAGAAGCTTCCTCCATGTCTGACAGTGCCAGTTTGAGCTAGCTGCAAGATGAACCCACTGCTGGCCAAAGCCAGAAGTGAAGGTGAGCCTGGGAAGAGGCATTGGGGGTGGGGGAAGGTGTTTTAAGATTTATTTTTATCTCTCTTTATTCTACTCTGGTTTGATTGTTAATAAATTAAATTAATTTCCCCAGGTCGAGTTTTTTTTGCCCATGACGGTAATCAGTGAGTGATCTCCCTGTCCTTATCTTCACCCACATGCCTTTCATCACATTTTTCTCCCTCTGCCCAGTTGAGGAGGAGGAGCAATAGAGTGGCTTGGTGGGCACCTGGTGGCCCACCACACCAAGCAAATAAGTTCTGGAAATCCATTAAAATTATCGGAGAGCCTGCAGATGATGGGGGATCCATCAGTGTCAAGGAAGACAATGCACAGAATATTGACAACATTCAGATCTTTGGAATACTAAAAAGAAAGCTTTTGTTGAAAGGAAAGCTGCTAGCTTTGAGATTCAGAAAAGCCTGCTGGAGTTGTAGAGGTCTTAGATAACTAAGACAAAAATTTGAAAATTGAGATCATCATTACGTCTTCCAAAAATGCTGCCTCTCCTCTCCAGCTTCTAGTCCAACATGGTGAAAGATATCAAGCAAGCCTATCCCTTTCTTAGTCATCTTAAGGTGTTTGGTAAAAGGAACAGGCCATAATTCCAATGTACCTGCATTTAGATAGGCTTGCTTCACATTCCCCTGCTAGGTCTGATTAGTAGGGGAAGAAGCCAGATTTAGCTAAGGCTCCTTTCTAAAAACAGGTAATTTCAGTTCAATCCTCTCAGGTT